GCATCCACTTCGTACTAATGGCTTATATGGTCAATCTCAAAACATTTCAAAAACCAGCAAAGAAGCCCTTCTCTCTCACCCTTCTCCACCCCCAAATGCTAATTAACTGAACTTTGCTATGCATTTGTTATAGTTCATTTAGGGATATGTAAGCCACTTAAAGTTCGTTTTATAAGATTTGAAGGAGACAAAGCTTATAAAAATTGTGGTTCAGTGATTTAACCCAGCTTCCTTAATGAAAGGTTATAAGTTGATCATGTGTGTAAAATCCAGTAAGGAAGGAATTCTGGCTTAAAATACATATTGCCCAGTTGAGTTTATATAGCTGAAGCATTTTAATAAATCTCCATTGAGCATTTAAAGTCATAGCTTTCCGCTGGATTCTGAAGCACAAAGGGACCAATCCATAGCACAGGGAAAGTAAACGGAAAACCATTTTCTTGAGCAAAATAGATGTTTAATCCTTCCCTAGATTCCCACTAATTTATTCACCTACAAGTTTTCCATATGGTTGAAGCCCCACTATTGTTAATAGGAATGTTGGGGCTGCATCATTGACAAATAATTAGCTAAGAGACTGACCATCGAGTCCCAGGTTCAGATCTCATCTCTGCCATGACCATCTGCTGTGGGTTTTATCAAGCCACAATCTCACAGCTACAGCCCCCCAGAAACATATGGGAACAATAATAATAATACTGGCATCCACTACAGTTGTAAGGATTGCTGATAAAACTGAACATGAACGCTCTCTGTGTGAATTGTGGTTTATTTAATGCTACCTGGTGGTACACTTTCTGAGAGAACTACCTTTGCAGAGATTCTCAACTGTCTGAATGACACAATGCTGGAATGATGCTACAGTAAATTATGTTAGAGACAAAATGCACCTATCATTATAATAGCAATGGACCCCTCATTGCACAGGTTCACAATCTTAAATTGTGGAATGACACTTGATTTCAAAAATCCTAAACGGGATGCTAGGTGTAGACTAGACTGGAGCTTCAATCTTCAGGTGTGCAATGACTACAGTGAGTGGCCCTTGGAAAGATAGTAACTCAACCTGCTTTTCATTAATAATAATAATAATAATACTAATAATAATAATAAGTAGTAGTAGTAGTAGTAGTAATAATAATAATAATGTTATTATTATGCCGCCCATCTGATTGGGTTGCTCTAGCTATTCTGGATGGCTCCCAGCAGAACATTAAAAACACAATAAAACATCAAACACTAAAAACTTCCCTGAACAGGCCTGCCTTCTGATGTCTTCTCAAAGTCAGATAGTTGTTTATTTCCTTGACATCTGATGGGAGGGCGTTCCACGGGGCGCGCACCACCACTGAGAAGGCCCTCTGCCTGGTTCCCTGTAACCACCCTTCTCGCAGGGAGGGAACCACCAAAAGGCCCTTGGAGCTGGACCTCAGTGACCGGGCTGAACAATGGGGGTGGAGACACTCCTTCAGGTATGCTGGGCTGAGGCCATTTAGGGCTTTAAAGGTCAGCACCAACACTTTGATTTGTGCTCGGAAACATACTGCAGATAGTATACAGTATGCTCCCATTAAGATAGTCAGAGGAAAGAGAGGGCAGGGATCTTACACCATTTAATAGTTCCTTGCTCTGTACAAGAGACCTTGGCTCTTTTTCACCTGGCCACCATAGTTCCTAGGCCGCTTCTCCTGCAGGTGCTCACCAGTCCTAGTCCATCAAGGGCATTTAGTATTTACTAGTTTATGGAGAGAGCGAGCACAGATTTACAACTAACATTTGTAGGTGTTCAGAGTACTTCTCATGCAGTCTGCTCAAAAGTAAGCCTGCTGAGTTCAATGACACTTACTCCCAGGTAGGGATAGTAGGAGCTGTCAATTTCAGTTCTCACAGTTTCTCATTTTTGTAATCTTCAATTCAGTTCTCCACATTTCTACAGCAATTTGTGATTTTTTTTAAAAAAAGAAATCCTTGTGAAAATTCATCAGTATGTTATTGTGAATTTCAGATCAGAACATTTTAACGCAGTTTTTACTGAAGTACACATTTCTGCATGCAATTTCCCAGCTATAATTAAATTTTGCATGTTATTTCCCTTAACAGAGACATTTTAAAAACACCATTTGGTTGGAGGGTTACATTGCAAAATTCAGGTGTGTGAATGTCAAATGATGGTTGTCTTTTGGTTTGCATATTGTTTTAGAAAGTTCAGATTTGATAGATTGGAATTCCCCAGTCCCCATCCCTAGGATGGATTTGTCAATTATGGTTTTTTGAGTTCCTCATTTTTCCAAATTTGAATTCAGTTCTCTACATTTCTTCAGCAAGCTGCAATTTTCTTTTTTTAAAAATGCTCATGAAAATTCATCAGGATTATGTGAATTTCTCCCAGTAAACACATGTTTATATGCTGTTTGACAAGCATACACATTTTTGCGAGCAATTTTCATATTATAATGCCTCTCTGTGTTATTTTTATTAAGAATTTCATTTTAATGCATACTTTTATCTAATTAGGCATTGGTTGGTTGGAGAACTATATCGTAAAATTCAGTTAAGTGTGAATTTCTAAGGGTGCCTGTATTTCGGTTCTCATATTGTTTCGGAAATTGCAAATTGGATAGATTTGGCTTTTAATGGGAACTGAATCAATTCTCCACCAATCTCGATTCCCAGGTAACTGTGTGGCCTTACATACATTATGTCAGACTGACAAAGCAGGTTATTAACCCAATACTGCAGAAGAGATGGAGGGCTGGGGGGAATGGTGGTCACTTACATAAGATTACAGTGAATTCATGACAGGAATTACCTGTGCTGGAGACCCTCCTTGTTTACAGCTCAAGTCAGCCAGCCAGTACAGTCCTCTAGCTCTCACAGTGTAAAGTGTGTGTGTATGATTCTATTTTTTGTTATTTTGATCAACCTTGTTCGGAGGGGGTTAAAGCACGAAAGCTGGGAATGAATTGTTTTCTACCAAAATTATAAACAAATGGCAAATCAATGGCAGGTCAATTTCCACAAAGCTGGTAATACAGATTGAATGAATGCGGCTTCAATTTGAGTACAATATTGTAAGCATTGACTAGCTGCTCAGACCGGAAAGCTAGTCTGTCTTTGAAGCAGGGGTTAAAATATATCACCTGATCCGCCTTAGCCTATTGCAGTGAGGAGACTTCATTGGCTCATGTGGCTCGTTTCCATATAGTTTCCTCATTTGGTCAAGCTTTGTTGTGATACACAGGCTAAATTACAACAATCCAAGGCCCAATTATTGGGACACGCGTGGCGCTGTGGGTTAAACCACAGAGCCTAGGACTTGCTGATCAGAAGGTCGGTGGTTCGAATCCCCATGGTGGGGTGAGCTCCCATTGCTCGGTCCCCGCTCCTGCCAACCTAGCAGTTCGAAAGCATGTCAAGTGCAAGTAGATAAATAGGTACCGCTCCGGCGGGAAGGTAAACAGCGTTTCCGTGCGCTGCTCTGGTTCGCCAGAAGCGACTTAGTCATGCTGGCCACATGACCCGGAAGCTGTACACCGGCTCCCTCGGCCAGTAAAGCAAGATGAGCACCGCAACCCCAGAGTCGGCCACGACTGGACCTAATGGTCAGGGGTCCCTTTACCTTTAAGGCCCAATTTGTAGTTTACTTTCCTTTGATCTTCATTTCAGCCCAAGGTTTCCCAAACTTGAATCTCCAGTTGCTTTTGGACTACAGCTCCCATCATCCCTAGCTAGCAGGACCAGTGGTTAGGGATGGTGGGAATTGTAGTCCAAAAACAGAGGGAGACCCAAGTTTGGGACACCCTGTTTCAGCCCATCTTCTGGGTTGTGTGAGCAGAGTTTTGCACATGACACGAAACAATGCAACATGTGGTATAACAACAGCCCAAGGGAGAACATGGACATCTTTCCTTTGGAGAGAAATGCACATTCCATTTGTGTTTAGAAATCATATCCATTCTAAGCAAGATGCACGCATTCCCCCTTCACACTTTTCATCAGAAAAAGTTACTGCTTCCTCCTGCAGTTTTCACAACTTGTAATGTTTGAAGCAGATGTGGATCAGTTCTAATAAATAATGTAGAAGTTAAAATTGGTCTGCATGTTATGATCACCACATGGGTGAGGTCTGAAGCCTCCTCTGTATACAGATTGCTTTGCAGAATGGCAAATATATCTCACCCCCATCACGTATAATTTCCACCTCAGTCGAACAATTCAGATTTGCTAAAAAGACCTCTAAATACAACTGATCATTTGTTGTTGTTGTTGTTTAGTCATTTAGTCATGTCTGACTCTTCGTGACCCCATGGACCAGAGCACGCCAGGCACTCCTGTCTTCCACTGCCTCCCACAGTTTGGTCAAACTCATGCTGGTAGCTTCGAGAACACTATCCAACCATCTCGTCCTCTGTCGTCCCCTTCTCCTTGTGCCCTCCATCTTTCCCAACATCAGGGTCTTTTCCAGGAGTCTTCTCTTCTCATGAGGTGGCCAAAGTATTGGAGCCTCAGCTTCACGATCTGTCCTTCCAGTGAGCACTCAGGGCTGATTTCCTTCAGAATGGATAGGTTTGATCTTCTTGCAGTCCATGGGACTCTCAAGAGTCTCCTCCAGCACCATCATTCAAAAGCATCAATTCTTCCTTGATCAGCCTTCTTTATGGTCCAGCTCTCACTTCCATACATCACTACTGGGAAAACCATAGCTTTAACTATATGGACCTTTGTTGGCAAGGTGATGTCTCTGCTTTTTAGGATGCTGTCTAGGTTTGTCATTGCTTTCCTCCCAAGAAGCAGGCGTCTTTTAATTTCGTGACTGCTATCACCATCTGCAGTGATCATGGAGCCCAAGAAAGTAAAATCTCTCACTGCCTCCATTTCTTCCCCTTCTATTTGCCAGGAGGTGATGGGACCAGTGGCCATGATCTTCGTTTTTTTTTATGTTGAGCTTCAGACCATATTTTGTGCTCTCCTCTTTCACCCTCATTAAAAGGTTCTTTAATTCCTCCTCACTTTCTGCCATCAAGGTTGTGTCATCTGCATATCTGAGGTTGTTGATATTTCTTCCAGCAATCTTAATTCCGGCTAGGGATTCATCCAGCCCAGCCTTTCACATGATGAATTCTGCATATAAGTTAAATAAGCAGGGAGACAATAGTTCTTCTTAATTGTATAGAAAATGTGCAAAAGGAGGGGGTGGTATCCAACATGTGTCACAGGTAGAGTACAACCATGAATATCAATGGTCTTACATTACTTATATCCATTTATTTTTATAGGTTTACTCTGAGAATGGCTGATATTGGAAACCACCCATTTAATTTCTCCATAGGGTAGATATACTTGGTCTGTTCAACTCTACAAATTAACAATACTATGAACTTTTTACAGGACCATTCCAGTGTTATGAGATATGTTAAAAAAAAGAAAGACTTTAAATAAACGTTTCCATCTTCTTAACAAAACTGTAAAATATGACCCGATTACTTACTAGAAAAGCTATTCACAGACACACACAAAATCAAACAAATGAATTATTGTAGCTTGCTTTAACATTATTTTGGAACCTTCCCATATCCAAGAGAACAATTCACCATTTTCGTTAGTATAAGCAAGATTAAATAGGCATTCTTGCAAGATCCCGCTGGAAACCGATCAAATGAAGATACAGCTGGCCTTAAATTTGAGATGTGTAGAGGAAGGACACCTGAAAGTAGACAAGTTGAAGTATTTAGAAATTCACTGATATATAACTGATAAAAACCAGCTAAAACACTGTTGCATAGCTAGAAAGTCTATAAAACATTATTTCTGCTGGCTTTAACTAGAGCACAATTTCCTGGGCCTGCCCTTTCATCAAAAAGGCTTATCAATAAAAATAGAAAAGAACACTAGGATGAATCTTAGTCCTAGGCATAATCTTCCTTCTGCAGTAGCCAAGAATTATCCTCATATTCTTGGCCTTTTCGCACTGGAAATGGGCTGAATTGTAAGTTGTTGATTCTAGATGGAGTGGTTGAAGAGAACTTTTTAGCAGAACTGGGGGAAGGAGAAACTTCAAAAGGCACAATGGTGAAAAGGGTAAGCTTCAGATCCTGCAAACAAGGAAGGGTGTAAGGTTGAAGCAAATATTCTCATATACAGATATATACAGACATGTGCCTTTTCTCATCCTCAGTGTCACTTCCTGTCTGCCGCTGCTGCTTCCGTACCATTTCTCCCCTGCTGTTTCCTTCTCCTCCTTGGACTGCTGATCCCATTAATGAGTCACCAACTGAATTGTATGACCTCACAATGCTAGAGAAGTTGCATCCGGACTGCCAGTACAGTGGTACCTCGGGTTACGGATGCTTCAGATTACAGACGCTTCAGGTTACAGATTCTACTAACCCAGAAACAGTACCTCTGGTTAAGAACTTTGCTTCAGGATGAGAACAGAAATCGTGCAGTGGCGGCGCGGTGGCAGCGGGAGACCCCATTAACTAAAGTGGTGTCTCAGGTTAAGAATGGTTTCAGGTTAAGAATGGACTTCCAGAACGAATTAAGTTGGTACCACTGGGGTACCACTGTACCACCCGAGGTACCACTGTAGTTTGTGGGAGGGATCCAAGCACAAGCCAAAAAATCTGGGTTTGCACAATTGAAGTGGACTGAAGTGCTCTGTCACTCCAGCACAACACATCCACTTTATTAAATAATAATAATAATAATAATAATTTTTATTTATACCCCACCCTCCCCAGCCAAGGCCGGGCTCAGGGTGGCTAACAGGCAATAATAAAAACAAGTTGAATGAATACAACTTAAAAACAAAATTAAAATACAACATTAAAATATTGAAACATTAAAATATTAAAATGTAGCCTCATCGCAGGAGGAGAAAGGAAAAGAAAAAAGAAAGAGGGGGAGGGAATCAAATTGGCTCCAAGCCAAAGGCCAGACGGAACAACTCTGTCTTATAGGCCCTGTGGAAAGAAATCAGATCCTGCAGGGCCCTGGTCTCATGAGGCAGAGCGTTCCACCAGGCCGGAGCCAGAGTTGAAAAGGCCCTGCTCTGGTTGAAGCTAATCTAACTTCCTTAGGGCCCGGGACCATTAGGGTGTTGCTATTTATGGACCTTGAGGCTCTCCATGGGGCATACCGGGAGAGGCGGTCCCATAAGTACGAGGGTCCTAGACCATGAAAGTGACCCAAAGCAATGGATTCAAGTTACAAGAAATGAGATTTCAGCTAAACATCAGGAAGACCATTCTGACGGCAAGAGTTGCTCAGCAGTATAATGGACTTCCTCGGAAGGTTGTGGACTCTCTTGCATTCCAGGTTTTTAAGCAGAGATTGGATGGCCATCTGTCATGGATGCTGCATTGCATATAGTTGGACTAGATGACCCTCGGCGTCCCTCCCAACTCTACGATCTTGTGATTCTGTGTTGTTGAAGCTGACCTATCAATAGAAATGATGTCATGTCACTGCTAGTACTTACAATTTTATTGCTTGTAATCTAAAATCAAAGTTCACCATCTCTGTGTTTTTTTATTTAAAAAAATAATTTATTTCATTTTTTACTATTTCTGGAAGCATCGCTCATTACACACAGCCCTGGGCTAGGTTTGTACATATGTTCGTTTTGATTTCTAATGGCAGGAGGTTTCTCATCTCCAGAACATCTTTTAATCATAAATTTTCTACGAACTATGGAATGTTTCCATTTGAAAGACTCATGAAACCAACACATGCTGGGTAGAAGGATACTGCTGAGGAAGACCTATGCAGATAGTGTAATGTTACTTAGTGATTAGAGGCTGGGGGATCTTGTGTACATATTCCCAAGGTGTTTATGTGTTATTTGTACTATCGTTGATGTATTCTCCTAATACTAGTAGGAATAAGAATGCCTCAGAGTATCACCCCTTTCGCTTATTATATCACCTATTAAATTCAGGAGGATGAACCAGCCAAGCAGGGTAAATATTTCCAGTACAATCCTTTGTGTGTCTACTCAAAAGTAAGCCCCGTGGCAAGTGTAAGATGAACTCTTGCTTTCCCCATAACAATATTTGGAAAACATATGCTAGCCTCTGACTCACACCTCTTAAAATGGACAGAGGCCCTAATCCTTTGCTTATCTGGCCACCCCAAAATTGTGATGATGGACTTCTCTGACCATTCATTGAGATTCAGTTCCCGTGGCTATCTAGTCGCCTAACTTCATCTTAGCAGTTCTTATGGGGATACGAGTGAGTGAAAAGTAGTGTTCCTGTCTCCCCATCTCAGTTGAAGATGTAAGCACCATGGAGACTGCCAGGAAAAAAAGGTGGACGTTCATTCACAATGACTGCATAATGAATGATCAACACAGCCAACTCTTCCAGTCAGCAGCTAGAAGCAGAGAAGTGCAACCAAAGGTTATGTCTTAGAGGCATAAATTTACTCTCTGTGATGAAATGTAATCAGATCTCACCAGTTTCCACTTTGAAGTCTTCCTGAAATCTGTGAGGTTACAGGCCTGAACGTATCTCCACTCCCAGTCAACAGGCCTCATATATATATATTGTGCATTTGTATGGAAACTAAAGCAAACAAATGCACAGTAGGGTTTTCAAACACCCCCTCTTAGAAAAGGGGTACAGCTACATCTAAGCAGTTAACATTTTAGAAAAACAACAAGCTCAAAACAGCAATCCAAAACCACCACAGCAGGCGAATCCATCCATGACATTCCCCCCTTTTCTCAGCAAGTGAATAAGGAAGATTTTGTCTTTGTCCCCTCTCTTGGAGTAGGTTACAAATCTCTTCTTCCATGTGCACACATAAGCACTTTTTAAAAGATCACCATTTGTGCTCATCTTGTCTTTAAAAGTGCACCGAGTCCAATGTGAACAAACAACCCTGGGGGTTTATGAGAACTGCTCAACTACTAAAAATGTCTGCACAGTTTTACTGGATTCTTTTATCCAGGACATTGTGTTTTTGCTTCCATGGGAAAAGAAAACTAGCCAACGACAGATGGCAAAAAGTGGCGAGCCTAAATATGCACCAGAGACACACTTTATCTACAGCAAGGCCTTTAATTTTCTGGGACCAACGCAGCCGTAAAACTCGACACCGTGCCAAATACCGATGGCCATCGTTGTTCGAGAGCAATTTTGGACCAAGGCCTTCCCTTGAGTACTTTATGTGTCACAAATCAGCACACAAGATTCCTCACAGCAAACTACTAGTGGGGTTGGCGTGGGGAGGGGAGGGAAGAGAAGGGTTAGGACATGGAAAAGTACCCAAAGGGTAATACAGCTTTATTCCCATATGGAGCAAGGAATGAGAGGAGGCAAGGTGAAGGGAGGCTACAAACCAAAAGGTGGCCAAAAAAAGGTGGTTAGGATTCCTCAACAATGCGTCAGGAGGGATAATATGTATGTAGAAGTCCATGGCAAATTTAAAGACATTTAATGACCCCTGCTCAATCTCTATGAACAGTAGTAGTTGGCCTTCCTTAGAAGACAATGGTGAAGATCAATTAATTCCGCCTCTTCAGGGATTCTTTTTCTAGTCACTCCTTCTGCAATATTTCTAATGAAAACACAGCCCATGGTTTGTTCCTTAAACTTTCCCCTTCTTATTTCTTATAACAGTCTGTCAGATCTGACATGAATGGGACTTGATTCTCAGAGAACAGATGGTTTAACATGAGGAACTTTTAGCCTATTTCTTTCACAAACAAAAACTTTTGTTTTCTGAATGTGATGGGGGGAACCATTGCTCATGGCCACGGATGTGTGTTCCACAAGATTGATTCAAATGAGATGTAGGCATAGACATGATTGAAAATATGGTCACCACTGACGATTCAGTTAAAAGGACCTCTTTGTTTAAAGTTTTCGTCGGTGAGCCATATGGTTTCCTTACCATAATAAAAAACCTTATCAATTGTGAGATCCAGATATTTAAAAGAACAGCAGTTTGCTTTGAACCTCCTCGATCCGAGATTAGGATAAACTCTGTACACCTTTTTTCAGTGTTTTCAAGAATCTATTGTGTTTATCAAAGGCATTTTTATTAGACACCTAGGATTTTCCGGATTGGCAATATGCATGATATAAAGACTTTCGCAGAGGTTAGCACAAGTCGCTTTTGGAATGGGATCAAAATGCCCAGCCAATGCTCTGTGACCCTGCCTCCCACACACCCAATCCCTCCTCTTCTTCCTCCTCCTCCGTGGCGCTGCTGTTATTGTATTTAGATTTGGATAAACTTTTCTCTGGAAGGTGATTGCTCACAGCAGTTCATTTTAAACTCACAGGCTTAGATCAGGCTTTGTGTGTGTGAACAGGCCTGTCATCAGACATTCCAGGTCGCTCTCCAAAATGAATGCGGCTTTCCTCGGCATTTGCTCAGCGTTTGGGCAGCAGACATTCCTTCTGCTCTGCATTAATCCAATTACTAAACACCTGCAGACATGCAATAACAGTTTCGAAGCCAAGTCCCTTAGAAATGGTTTTATGGGAGAACGTAATCTGCCATCCTGCTATCAGGAGTCATGTTACACACCTGCCAAGTCCTGTGCTTTGGGGGCCGGGAACCCAACAATTCATGGCAAGAATTCATGGCAATAATGTTTCAGGGTTTTTTCCTCCTTTGTGGCGGAGGGTGGGGAAGAGGCATGTTAACCAGACCAAATAAAATAAAATAAAATAAAAAATACTCATACTTTTTAATTTTACTGCCATGGAGTCCATTAAACATTATGAACTCCTAGATGAATTTTATTAAAAGCCAATTTTAGTCTTCAAATATTTACAGAAGAGCATGACAGAAAAGCAACATCTCAGGGCCCACTCAAACATGTTCCAAAAGGTCCATTAAAATAGAAAGATGACTCACATGCACACACTTTGCCATTCTGTCGCTGTTCTCAGGGTTTTTAATCTGATAACCACCAACATGCATTCCAAAGTGATGTGTTGGAACTATGAAATAATTGCTTTTCTTGCCCAAATTTCTTATTTTCTCTCCCCTTTCTTTTAAAATTTCTGCTGCTTTCTGGAGCCTTAATATCTGGGGTAAATTACCATTTACGCCATGTAATGCATTAGGTTGGTGCTCGTAATTATAGGTTCCTCTGTGGTCTGTCATTCATTCATTCCTTATATTTCTATGATGCTTTTCATTCGCACAAATTACAAAACGGCTCACAAACAATAAATGGCAATAACATAAAAGGACATCGCAAATACAACATAAATCAAATGGAACAATTAACAAATCA